GGTTTCAATTATTTATTATATTTATTTTTTTGCTTAGATTATTTGTTTGCATTTTGTTGTGATTTTCTGCTAACTTTCTTTACAGGAATACTTACGCGAAAGGGAATGGAAAAACAAATATAAAACCAAATGAATAGTATTTGGGATGTAAAAAAAAAAAATGTTTGGACTACTAACTTTTATGTTGAATAGGAATACCTAAGTGTGGAAAGGTTTTTGGACTAAATAGAATCCTTATGGATTGGCTATTTTTTTAAAATGTTTGAAGCATGTTTTGCTTGAAATTTAGTTGGTTTGTTTATCAATTTGTGGTAACAAGTTTTATTCGCTTGTTTTGTTAGAAGCATTTTATATGCGTGTAATTGTTATAGCAATTTTTTAAATTACTTGTAAATTTGGAACTTTGTTTGGTTTTCTGTGATAGAAATCAAAGTTTTTAGCTTTGGCTAAAGAGTAGTTCTTATTTGTTCAGAAATGACAACTAAGACGGATTTGGTTTCAAACCTTTGGAGTTGGAGAAAGTCTTTGGTTATAATCTGATTATGTCCAAAATGTTTTGGTTTTTGAGAAAGGAAACCAAATTATAGCATTAGCTAAAATATTTTTGATTTTATTCAGAAATAATGGGCTTAGTTCCGGGAGTACCGGTTAACTTTTATGAGTGGTGTAATTCTGGTAGTAAATTTTATTTGCTTGGAAATCGGTTTGTTATAACCTGGTTTATCCCCTAGAAATCTTAATTTTAAAATTGTTTCCCATGGACTAGGAGTCAACATGCTCTTGGATGTTTTGTCAAAAGGTTAACTAGATTTTAAGTGGGACCGATGTGACCCCTCCAGTCTTCTTGGAAACATTCCTGACCATGTTCGATTCTAGGTTAAATGGTGAGACTAGTTTTGAATTAAATTTCTATCTAAGGGATTTTCTAAGGGTTAAGTTTAATTTTTGGAATCACAGAAATGAAATTCTGTTGTGATGTTTCAGAAATGGCTTCAAAAGGTGACAAACAGAAATGTTGTTCCACCTGACAACCCTAGCTTCGCGAGATTCTTAAAAGAAGATCTTGAGAGATCAAGTGTGATCAAAGGAAATCATAAGATTGCATTAAAATATCTCTGAATTGATTAGAGGCAATTAGTATGGTATCCTTGTGTTATTTATAGCATTTATGATTGCTATGTGACTTTGCTTGAAAGCAAAGTTGAGACAACCTGTTATAATAGGTGAATATTTTTTGGATTTTTAAATTCCAAATATATTCTTAAATTGGTGGCTCCTAGTGAGTACAAGATCACTGATCACTGAGATAGAAAACTAGTGGTTCCTAGGAGGTGTTAGACCACTGGCTACACAGAAATTTTTGCTTCTATTTTACAAGTCAGTTTGCCAGAAAGTTCCTACAGTGAGAGAGTGCTGCCACGGTTTTTGTTCGCTAAGCTAGACAGAAAGTGCTTCTGCCGTAGATGGTTTTGACCGTCGTATCTTGGGAGACAGACGCCAGGATTCCTCAAGCACTCGACCCGTGAGGCGGCGAAATCTGTTTTAAAGAAACCGCTACCGTGTAGGCTTCAGTTTGGCTTCTTTACCATTTATTGTTTTGTGTATTTCTGTTGAAATTTAGTTGTAATTATTAGCATATATTCTTGGTATATAATTTTGATTTCTTCATAAATCCATTTATTTAATTGCCACGGTTTTTGTTCGCTAAGCTAGACAGAAAGTGCTTCTGCCGTAGCTGGTTTTGACCGTCGTATCTTGGGAGACAGACGCCAGGATTCCTCAAGCACTCGACCCGTGAGGCGGCGAAATCTGTTTTAAAGAAACCGCTACCGTGTAGGCTTCAGTTTTGCTTCTTTACCATTTATTGTTTTGTGTATTTCTGTTGAAATTTAGTTGTAATTATTAGCATATATTCTTGGTATATAATTTTGATTTCTTTATAAATCCATTTATTTAATTTCACAATTTGAACAACATTTAGTTGTAGAAAGAACTTGTTGTGGTGATAGTAGCAAGCTTTCATGGTTGCCGATAGGTTCGAATTTTAGGGTTAACGCGATGTGGCCTAAAAAAAATAAATGACGTAAAAGACTTAAATTTTATATTTATTCCAAAAGCTATATTAGAAATATTTACTCAAGTTAATGTGTGCCTTGTTGTACTTTAAAAATAAAAATAAAAAATTATTGATATGGTAGAATAAATTTTAAAGTGTAAAAGTATTTTTGAAATTTCTAAAATTCTATGAGATAATTGAATTGTCACAAGTCATGTAAGGATTAAATCAACCAACACAAATTGAAAAGCTATTTGACCAACTTATTTATGTAAGTATGATTTAAATTGATACATACATATCTTTAATACTTTTTCATAATGAGAATAACAAATATATACATATTTATGCATGTTTATTAAAAAATTTAAACTTGGGCAAATTTTTATTGATTAATATTCAAATTTATTAAATTAATATTTAGATATATTTCTCTATGAAAAAAAAATAATCCAAGACCAAATTGAGTTACATATATCATGAGTCATGTTATAACCCTATGCCCAGACCTAGTTAAGAAAATTTATCTATCAATTAGTAAACATTAAATAAATGATTAGTTAAAATTATATAATAGTTTTGTAAGTTGTAATGAGCATGTGTTATATTAGGAGTGTTGTAACTGGCTTAGACATTAAATATAGCCTAAATATCAATTTCAAGTTGACATTTATACTATAGCAATGCTAGGTGGCCACAAATTCTGTGGCTCGAATGGCCCGAAACTGCCAAAACAACGTCGTTTTGGTGCAAGACAAGTCAAAACGACGTCGTTCTAGCAATTTCGGGCCATTTGAGCCACAGAAATTGTGACCACCAAGCATTTTTCTTTATACTATTATTGGCCTAAATCCAGTTATTGAAGAATTGTTGCTTGATGATCAATCCAAGAGTTGCTTTTTTTCTTTTTCTTTTTTCTTTTTTTTGGATTGACAAATGTCAGTGATTAGTTTGTAGATTTGCACATCGAGAAGTTCAAACTCACACACATATATTTTGTAAGAAAATCTTACTCTCTCGTTCCACTCCTAAGAGTGGAACTCAACACCTCCTCTTGAGGAAAGACTTGGTGGCCAAAAGGCTAGCAAACTAAGTTAAAACCCCTTATTCAAGAAAATTTATGAGTTACTTGTTTACTTATTTATTTATTTATATTGTTATATACATAAATATATGTACATATAATCAAAATAAGAAATATGTATATAATTTTTTTTCATATTTATTAACATTTTAAAATTTTAATTATAAAATTTATATATTTATTTTTAAAATATAACTAATGTCTGCTCTATTAATATTAAGGTATACTTACGTTCGAAAATATTATGCAATATTAGACCGGACATGTGCTATGTTTTTAGCCTAGAAATTGCTTTTGAGAATTAAATTGTTAATTATTAATTTAAACATTGTATTTAAAATTTTAAGCTTTAATTTCATATTTTCTTAGTAGGATTAGGGCATGTATACTTGAATTTTATAACTCCTTATAAATTATTATTAAAATTTCATTTTGATTTTTCTTCTAAATTTTAAATTAGTTATAGAGTTAACTATGGTTAAATTTTTGTTTAAAGTTAGATATGATAAGATAGGCCATTAGTTTTGTAGTCATACTACAAATCTAAAATAATATACTCATAATTTATCCAGAAATACTAACATCATTTGGATTCATTTTTATATATGGGTTCCATAATACACAATTTTAATATCCACCACAGAATCCATTCTGGTTCCAGATCAGGGACCCTAAATCTAGTTTGGCATGTACTAAATAAGTCAAAAAGTCAAAAAGTCACTATCTTATTTAAGTCACATCATCTTATTTAAATCACATCACCTCTCTAACACATCACATCAAATCCAACCCAAACCCACCGATAAGTCAAAAAGTACACTTTTTTAGGACATCCCAAACCAACCATAGTTTTATGCTGATTCATGCACATTTATATTTTATTATTTAAAAAAATACAAATGTGCTCAAATTTTATAAGGATAAAATTACATTTGAAATATTATTTTAAATTTAATTTCAAATTAAATATGACTTCGATTTTAAGAAACATTATGGCTAAAATTTATTTTTTAACTTTCTATATAAGTAATTTCAAAATTTGAAATTATACATATAGATTATATATACATAGATAGGAATGATAATACCATAAATAGTTCATAAATTAAAAAATTTAGAAGATCTTCCATATTAATCAAGGATTTCATTAAAATATTAAAATAAAAAAATCAATGATAATATGCTAGGTGTATTTTTATAATTTTTTAAATAAGACATTTATGAAAATAGAATTAGAATTTTAAGACTCAATGAACCAAACAACATTTTTATTTAGGGATTGTTAAGGGTGTCTTAAATAAGTGTATTTTTTGTCTTTTTAGATTAAAAAATTGAGGAAAACAAATATGGATGTTTGAGTTAACTTTTTGACTTTTTATGAAAAAATGTGTATTAAAAAATTGTATAAATTAGTGTATAAGGGAAAATTAAGATTGAGAGTTGTGCAGTCGTAATTTTTAACTTTTGGTGAATAGTGATAACTTTTTAATTTTTTTATTTTTTAAGTAACTTTTTAACTTTTTGACTTTTTAGCAACTTGACAAACTTAGCCTTATATTATAGGAAAATACTAGAGGTCTCAAATTTTCTACTAAATAAATGACCAAATGTCTCACATGCGTGTGGGGCTCACAAAATTGCAGACCTCACACCCATGTGAGAAAATTTAGTATACCTAGCATTACCCTATATTATATAATAATTATGCCAATATTATAAATATTTGAATTTTTAAGTTGGGCCCACAATGAAATTGAATTGGGCTTCAACCGGTTTAGCCTGTAGCCGGTCATAATACCGCGGATTACGCCACAGAGTCCCAGAAAGGCAGCGTGTTTAGGGCGACCCACCAGTAAACGAGGGAGTCCACACTAATTTCATTGTAAACCAAAACCAAACCAAAACAGAGAGCCGTTCTCTCTCTCTCTCTCTCTCTCTCTCTCTCTAAGTGATATTTAAACATCCCATAAACACCCTGAAAATCGGCTTCAGAAATCGTTCTAAAGGCTTTTCCATGGCGTTGTCTGTTTCATATATGTTGCGTTTGGTCCACATTGCTTTGCTTTTCGGCCTCTGTTTCGCTGCAGACCCATTTGTTAACTTCGAATTGGAGCTCTCTTACATCACTGTTTCCCCGTTGGGCGTGCCTCAACAGGTTTTGCTCTCTCTCTGTGTCTGAGTCATTTTTTCATATGGGTTCGCTTCGTTTATTTATTTATTTATTTTAAAGTTGATGAAACGATGATACAATCTTTGTTTGTTCTGTCATTCTTGTTTTTGGTCTCGATTTTGGCTTCAATTTTCAGTCTTTATTGCTTTCTTCTCATATGTTTTAACAGTAATTTTTTTTTTTTTGGGTTCAGGAATTAAGGTTTGATTAGTAGATTAGTGTACAAATGTGTTGTTTTTTTTGGTAATTCTTGTACATGGTTCTGGGGCTTTTTATTAATTTTCTGCAATCTTTTATTAATGGTGAAAATAGTTTTTTTTTTTTTTTTTTTTTTGGGTTCAGGAATTAAGGTTTGATTAGTAGATTGTGTACAAATGTGTTGTTTTTTTTTGGTAATTCTTGTACATGGTTCTGGGGCTTTTTATTAATTTTCTGCAATCTTTTATTAATGGTGAAAATAGTTTTTTTTTTTTTGTCTTTTTAAAAAAAAAGACCAGATACGGGTTATTAATTTTCTGTAGATTAGTGTACAAATGTGTTATTAATTTTCTGTAAATCTCTGTTGTTGTTTTCTCAAATGGGTTTTGAATTTTTTTTTTCTTTTGATATAATTTTTTGTTTTTTTTGGCATTAATTCCTGTTTGATTTGTGGTTTATATGGGGAATTTTCTACATGGGATTTGTGATTTTAATGGTACTTTATTACTATTTTTTTGTTTACTATTGTAAATTTTAGTTAGATGAAATGATTCTATTGCTGTAGTTTTTGATCATTTGATTAAAAAGTTATCATAGATGATTGGCTTTGTTACCCGGTTTTTTTAATTTTTCTTTTTAGTATTCTTTGGCCATGGTTCAGTAACTTGTATTTATGTGCTAATTGGAGGTGAATCAGATAACCAGGCTTTAGTAATTGGTAAAATAGACGAGGAAATAATTTATTTATTTATTTATTTTGGTTTCCCTTGTTTGCAGGTTATAGCAGTTAATGGAACATTTCCTGGTCCAACTTTTAATGTAACGACTAATGACAATGTGGTGGTAAATGTGAATAACAAATTAGATGAAAATCTCCTCATTACTTGGTAAGTTTTGACAGATTGCCTAATTACCTTTTTAAATCAGCTTGCTTTTGAAAAGGCGGGACTGCTTTTCCTGAGTACTTCTACGTGCTTTTGGATTTATGGTTTTGACAGGCCTGGAGTGCAAATGCGTCGTGCTTCTTGGCAAGACGGTGTTCTGGGCACGAACTGCCCCATTCCTCCCAATTGGAACTGGACCTACCAGTTTCAAGTTAAGGATCAGATCGGTAGCTTCTTTTATTTCCCATCGCTCAATCTTCAGAGAGCAGCTGGTGGCTTTGGTTCTTTTATTATCACTAATCGGAAAATCATTCCGCTTCCTTTTAGTACCCCTGATGGGGATATCAACATTATGATTGGTGATTGGTATACCCGAAACCATACGGTTCGTATATGTTATAGGATCAATTGTTTTGAATGAGTGTTGATTGGGAGTGTGATTTTATATTGTAAATTCTAATGGTGGTCCCGTTTTCAATGTTAGGCACTGAGAACGGACCTTGATGCTGGAAAAGACCTTGGAATGCCAGACGGAGTTCTCATTAATGGGAAGGGACCTTACAGATATAATACAACGCTGGTCCCAGATGGCATTGATTATGAAACCATCAATGTTGACCCAGGTGAATGATTAGCAGTTGCATCTATAAATTAAGGTCATTTGAAAACTTCAAATAGTGACTTTATCGTCATATTTTTTTTTGATTTGTTGGTTATTCATTTTTTTTTTTTTTTTAAAAAAAAAAACCCTTTAATGTTCAGCTGTTGTGCAATTCAAAATTAATTCCATTTCATTTCTGGTTGTTTGAAAATACCCTTTAGGGTTCCCTCTGCCATTATACCACCTTACAGTTGCTAAAAATTTATAAATCGAAAGTAATCAGCACCCATTTTGGTTGGTCATAATTGTCTGTGGAACCAATTTCTGATTCTGACTGCATCATTGTAATTACTGCTATACATTTCTGAATAGGAAGCTTTTTATGTCTGGTTTATTACAAATGAGCTCTTGCTTTGATGACTAGGGTCATTGGAGTATTTAGAACATGCACAGGCGTGGTCATACCTCAATGTAGATGAGTTATAGTGAAACAACTGTGGATTGTGTTAATGTCATAAATTAAAATTGACCTGGTTCGTGTTTAGTCATTTTGTATGTTCAGCTTCCCTGCTGTACTCCTTTGTTCTGAACCTGCTACGCTGTGATTTACTGCAGGAAAGACTTATCGAATTCGTGTGCACAACGTTGGGGTCTCAACTTGTTTGAACTTTCGAATCCAGAACCATAATTTGCTTCTAGCAGAAACGGAGGGTTATTACACATCGCAACAAAATTACACTAGTTTAGATATCCATGTTGGGCAGTCCTACTCTTTTTTGGTTACCATGGATCAGAATGCAAGTAGTGATTACTATATTGTAGCCAGTGCTAGATTTGTGAATCAGTCTCTTTGGCAAAGTGTTACTGGTGTGGCTGTCTTGCACTATTCAAATTCAAAAGGAAAGGCAGCTGGTTCCCTCCCTGATCCACCAAATGATGTATATGACACATCATTTTCGCTGAACCAGGCAATGTCCATCAGGTTTGTTCCCGTTCCCTTGTTTCTTTTGATATTTGTTAACTTCTATGTCTTTTTAAATTGGAAACTTGTAACTGTCTTATTGAGTTATTTTGTTTGTGTTCCCTGTTTTTTCATTAAAGAACATTTAGGATATATATTGCAAATTTTATTCATATGTGCACAACCCAACCTAATGAGGTTCCAAGAATTCATTTCTTTTAATGACAAAAAAAATCTCTAGTTTTCTGAGGAAAGGAGAGAGATACATTTGCATCGTCTTTGGATCATGGATTTGGGTGGGGAAAAGGAAAAGGAATGTGAAATGTGAATTATCCACCTTTTCACTTTCCCTTTCCAAATCCTTACCCAAATTCATGATCCAAACATATCCTTGTGATGCAGTGGACAATGTGCCAAGAGAGGTGGAGAGAAAGTCAGAAAGCCCTTGCAAGAGAGATGCATTATAGGGCAAGTTTAGGAAACCTTATGCCTGTAGCATTTAGTGAAATGAAATTTTGAAAAACTTGGCCAAGAAGAAGACAGTGATTGAAGAAGCACAAACATAGACTTGGGCATGGGTATGGACAAGGGACATGACGATTTTGAAAAAATTGGAATACGGACAGGATTTTTTTCTCTATAAATATTTTTATTGGCTATGTGTATGGATATAAACTTAGGATACGGAGATATAAGATACCTCAATGTATATGTAATTTTTTCCTCCCTCTTTGTTTTCATATATTTTACTTGATTCCAAATCAATTTTCTAAAATACACGTGGCTGTGAAGTGTTCCCAATGTGCCTGTAAAGAAATAATAATTAAAAATTTTGACACAAAACGTGGCGTGTCGGTGTCCATATTTGTAATAAAAAGTGCACATTTTTGGTCCTTGAAGAAATTTAGAATACACCAAAACCTTTTAGTCTTCAAGATTAACTATTAAATCATCATCTATTATCAATTAAAGTTGATGTGGTCCAAATCTTAAACCAGTGCTTCATATAATTTTAAAATTCGGCTATCAATTCACACTCCCATGCTAGTTTCTCCTTTTGTTCTCTATTTATTTCACCATGACCTCTTATTGTAACTAATTATCATCAATCCATCTTGACTAATGTTTTCCCTACTTGATCAGGCAAAATGTATCTGCTAGTGGAGCTCGCCCTAACCCACAAGGTTCATTTCATTATGGTTCGATCAATGTGACTGATGTGTATATGTTAAGGAGCCTTCCCCCAGTGGTGATTGATGGGAAACTCCGAGCTACATTTAATGGGATTTCATTTGTCAATCCCGATACGCCAATTAGGCTCGCCGACAAGTTTAATGTGCAAGGTGCATACAAGCTTGATTTCCCAAGCCAGCCACTGACTGGACCGCCTCGGACTGACAGATCTGTTATTAATGCTACATATAAGGGTTTCATTGAAGTCATATTGCAGAACAATGATACAGTAGTGCAGAGCTTTCACATGGACGGTTATTCGTTCTTTGTTGTTGGGTATAGTTCTTTTCTTGGTATATTCATATCCAATTTTAATCAACTCACAAGTGTGTGCAAGATAGTAACTTAATTACTACTACTGCAGAATGGCATATGGGGAATGGACGGAAAACAACAGAAATTCATATAATAAGTGGGATGCAATATTTCGCTCTACAACACAGGTTAGTTTTTTATTGGATTTTTACAGTGTTCCTTGTTTAAATTATAACGACAATAGAAAGGACCTATGTTACCATGTACTATATTACGGATTAGGGTATGAATTTTAGGTGCGATCGTGTGTCCAAGTGTCAAGACTTTCGTAAACCTAAATCTTAAGATATTAGGATATGTATTCCAAAGTAGGATATTAGGATATATATATATGTATGTATATAGTACATATTGTATAATATTCTTAGATAAGCAATTCTAAATTATGTAAAAATGTACTTAAAATTAAATAAGATTTAAGAAAAATATGAAATATTTATCTTTCATCTATGTAGCTATCAATGTTTTTACTAGAAATGTATGTTTCTTATTCTTTAAACATCATAAAAAGTTAGAATCCAAGTTTCTAAATTGGATATGGGTGTTGGACACGAATCTCTCACCCTCACTCTTGTGATATTTTGATGGACACACGTACTTTGGGAGAAATAGGGGAGTCATAGGTTACGCAGAAGATTTATGCATTTGATTTACTTTGCTAGTTGGTGCTGCTTAGATTTTTTTTATTTTTTTATTTTATCGTTTCTTTCAGTTTGTTTGTAATGCCTATAGTATGTGCTGGAATTTCTACTCATTAAAGATGTATATGGATTCTGATGTATTTTCTTCGACATATATGTGTTCCAGTAATTATTTTCCCTTGTTTTACTATTTGTAGGTATTCCCTGGGGGATGGACAGCAATTCTCGTATCTCTCGACAATGTTGGAGTGTGGAATCTTAGAGCAGAAAATCTCGACAGATGGTATCTAGGCCAAGAAACCTATATGAGGATTATAAATCCTCACGAAGACAACACAACTGAATTGGATGCACCCAATAATGTTCTTTACTGTGGTGCCCTGGCCAGCATGCAGAAGTATAGAAACCTAGCTTCTCTCTCTCTCTCTCTCTCTCTCTTTCTCTCAAATAACTGATCAATGTATTTTTATTCCATTTGCATTTCAGGCCACAAAAAACCTCTACTTCAGCATCAACTGTCAGTGGGCAACCAAAGTTGTCTCTTGTGCTGCTGATGGTGTTGTCTGCTGCCATTTCGATTTTATAATAGGCACTTCTGGTATGCTTTGTTTGGGTTACAGTTTTTAGTTGTAAGTGTGTAGGTGGTGTGAAAAAGAAGTCTTGCTAGCACAATTTTCCTGTTGTTCATTGACATTATAGGTAATTGGGGCATCCATCATATGTCATGCAACAAAATTGCATATTGATGATGAGCAACCCATTTTTAATGGCATTTTATTTGTACCGAACTTGTGTTATTGTTTGGTATTTGATTTTTTTTTTTTTTTTTAATTTGTTTTTCTTTGAGAATTGTATGCAACAATTGCAGTTCAAAGTAAATGGTTGCTTATTTGGTTTTACAGAACATGAAAAATGTGGAAATTTTTAGTGCCTTTGTGGGATGTGGACAATTAGCAATAATGGTAGTAATTTTGGTGATGATTTCTATTTCAAGCTATGAATGCCTCGATGTTGTGTTTTTATTTTTTGATTATCAATTTTTAGTTTCTAAGAAATTGTATCAAATAGGCCTATTATGGGAAGGGGATTTGTGCTTATATGTGCCGTGGTCATTCTAAATTGAATGTTTGACTGTTTGGTAAAGTTTACAGTTTTTATTTTTATTTTAGAAATACTAACCTATCACCCGTGCTTTGTACGGGATAATTATAGATATTTATATTTATTTTAAAAAAATTTTAATATATAAATTATATTTTTTAGATTTTTTATAAAAGTAATTTAACAATCTTATCACTAACCATAGCGTATGAGAGAAGTTGTAAAAGGGTATTGCAGCAACTATACACAAATTGTATCTATAATTATTTGTATGAGGGGATTAAATGCTTATCAGGGAATTTTGACCTGATCAATAAATGCAAGCATGTGGAAAGACATGTGGATTGAAAAAAGTTAATAGATGCTGATCAGGGAATTTTGACTAAATTAATAAATGCTGATTTTTCTTTAATAAAAAATTTAGAAAATTCAAATTGGGATATTGAAGCTCCCACAAGCCTTAGAGTTAAAAATTTCATTTTGCTTAATATATAGTATAGATATAAATATAGATATAGATAGATAGATAGATGTAAATATAAATATAGATAATATAATATAGATAGATAGATGCGTTGAAATTTTCAAGAAATTTTATTTATGCTGGTCTTTAATGCATTAAAGTTTAATTATGAGAGAGTTTTGACCAAATCTCCCAAAAGGCATGGGGATTGGAAGAAATTAACAAATGCTAAGTTTTTTTTTTTTTTTTAAATCAAAAAATTAGAAAAATAGAATTAGGATATTAGAGCTCCCGTAAGACTTGTAGGTTAAAAACCCAATTTTTTTTAGATAATTGTGTTTATAATTATTTATATATGTGAATTGCGATTTTTTAAATGTCTTTTTTTTTCTTTTTTTATATTATATTAAAATTTAATATTTTGATAATAACCATATGTGTTAGACTTTTCAAGGAATTAAATGTCTTTTTTTTTATTATTTTATATTAAATTTAACATTTTGATAAAAACTATATGTGTTTGACTTTTTAAGAAATTTTTTTTATGTTTGTTCTTAATGCATTAAATTGTTATTATGAGGGATAATAATTATATGTGTTGGGACTTTTCAAGGAATTCATATGTGTTGGATTTTAAAGATATTTTTTTTATGCTTGTTCTTAAAGTATTAAAGTATTATTATGAGGGTAAGATTTGGGGGTTAGGACAAGTTAATAAATGTTAAGGTTTTTCTTTTTTTTTTTAAATCAAAAAATTTAGATTGAGAGATTAGAACTTTTACAAAGTTTGGGGTTAAAAATCACCTTTTGCTTAATATATAGTATAGATATTTTAAAAACAAGTGTTGCGATTTATGGGTTGCGCGCGCGCGCGCGCGCGTGTTTTGTTGTCTGGCTGTGTAGAAGCCCACTTTTCAATTCCTCACTATTGGGCTACCCGTAGTCAATTGATAGATGTTGGGCCAGACTTACTTGATGTCATTATTATTATATATTTCTATAAGAGTGTAATTAAAGGCTTTAGTAAGGGGAGAAATTTTTATATGCCGATAGAATATATAACATGTGGTATCTTATATTATTGTGATTAGATTTAATAGTACGGTCTACTATATTTATGTTTGATATTTGAGAAACAATATAGAATATATACATTTATAATTGGTGAAAGGTACTGTCACGTGATACTCTATTACCATACAAAAATTTCTTCAGTAAGGGATTTGCAAACTCATTTCCCTGATTGGTTTAATTTAAGTGGGGTCTATTACGTCTTAAAATAATCATGTTATTCACGGATATTGGAGGTGCTGTCACAGTACCTGCCGTGACGTCTCATTTGAAGTTTGTCTTGATTTTATTTTGACGATCTCATGTTATAGAATTGGTCAAGTATGTTACCCATTAAAAAAAAAAAAATAAGGTTAATGTGATATGCATAATCTCACGATTAGATCATAATTGATTTTAAAAAAATTATTAAATTATACCAACTGTTTATTTTTGTGAACAAAAATGTGGTCTTGTTTCGAGTTACAAATGTCTATTTGACCTTCTTTTTTTTTTTTTTTTTTTTTTATGGATGATCTACTCAATCAATTTTATAATATAAACAATTCGAATCATCAAAATATTATAGTGTTGTTATGATTTATAAATGTCTAATTGACTTTTTTTTTTTTTTTTTTATGGATGATTTACTTAAAAAAATTTATAATATAAACTATTTAAATCATTAAAATATATTCGAGAAACACCCCCCACAGACTCACAACAGTATTGTGCCTTACGGACAACACCATCCCCAGGTTGGTTATTCACACATCTTTTATGTAACTGGACAAAATTGTTTTCATCTGGCACTCCATAGTAATAAGGTCAAGTATTTATCAATAATGTTACTGTGATTAAAATTTAGATATTAAAATGACACCAACTGTTACTAATTTATTTATTATTATTTTTTTATTCTCAAATCTCGGAAGCTTATGTGCCCTAAAGGGTTGTTTTGGAAAGATAGTAAAAAGTAACTTTTTGACTTTTAACCAAGTTTTTGATTTTTTTAGACAAATGATTTGGAAAGTTAGTATAAAGTGACTTTTGACTTTTTTGATTAATGTTTGTTTATGATGTCAAATCATAATAAAATAACCAAACTACCCCTATTTATTTAAAATATTTACAACTTCACCTATGTAACACATTTTGACCCATGAGGGTAAAATTGTAATTTCACCGTTGGCTAAAAACCAACTTCCCAAATGAAAAAAAAATAGACAAAAAAAGTCAACTGCAACAATTGCAGTTCAAAGTAAATGGTTGCTTATTTGGTTTTACAGAACATGAAAAATGTGGAAATTTTTAGTGCCTTTGTGGGATGTGGACAATTAGCAATAATGGTAGTAATTTTGGTGATGATTTCTATTTCAAGCTATGAATGCCTCGATGTTGTGTTTTTATTTTTTGATTATCAATTTTTAGTTTCTAAGAAATTGTATCAAATAGGCCTATTATGGGAAGGGGATTTGTGCTTATATGTGCCGTGGTCATTCTAAATTGAATGTTTGACTGTTTGGTAAAGTTTACAGTTTTTATTTTAGAAATACTAACCTATCACCCGTTCTTTGCACGGGATAATTATAGATATTTATATTTATTTTAAATTTTTTTTAATATATAAATTATATTTTTTAGATTTTTTATAAAAGTAATTTAACAATCTTATCACTAATCATAGTGTATGAGAGAAGTTAAAAAAGGGTACTGCAGTAACTATATACAAATTGTATCTATAATTATTTGTATGAGGGGATTAAATGCTTATCAGGGAATTTTGACCTGATCAATAAATGTAAGCATGTAGAAAGACATGTGGATTGAAAAAAGTTAATAGATGTTGATCAGGGAATTTTGACTAAATTAATAAATGCTGATTTTTCTTTAATAAAAAATTTAGAAAATTCAAATTGGGATATTGAAGCTCCCACAAGCCTTAGAGTTAAAAATTTCATTTTGCTTAATATATAGTATAGATATAAATATAGATATAGATAGATAGATAGATGTAAATATAAATATAGATAATATAATATAGATAGATAGATGCGTTGAAATTTTCAAGAAATTTTATTTATGCTGGTCTTTAATGCATTAAAGTTTAATTATGAGAGAGTTTTGACTAAATCTTCCAAAAGGCATGGGGATTGGAAGAAATTAACAAATGCTAAGTTTTTTTTTTTTAAATCAAAAAATTAGAAAAATAGAATTAGGATATTAGAGCTCCCACAAGACTTGTAGGTTAAAAATCCAATTTTTTTTAAATAATTGTGTTTATAATTATTTATATATGTGAATTGCGATTTTTTAAATGTCTTTTTTTTTTCTTTTTTTATATTATATTAAAATTTAATATTTTGATAATAACCATATGTGTTAGACTTTTAAAGGAATTAAATGTCTTTTTTATTTTATTTTATATTAAATTTAACATTTTGATAACAACCATATGTGTTTGACTTTTTAAGAAATTTTTTTTATGTTTGTTCTTAATGCATTAAAGTGTTATTATGAGGGATAATAATCATATGTGTTGGGACTTTTCAAAGAATTCATGTGTTGGATTTTAAAGATATTTTTTTTACGCTTGTTCTTAAAGCATTAAAGTATTATTATGAGGGTAAGATTTGGGGGTTAGGACAAGTTAATAAATGTTAAGGTTTTTCTTCTTTTTTTTTAAATCAAAAAATCAAAAAATTTAGATTAAGAGATTGAAGCTTTTACAAGGTTTGGGGTTAAAAATCTCCTTTTGCTTAATATATAGTATACATATTTTAAAAACAAGTGTTGCGATTTGTGTGTGTGTGTGTGTGTGTGTGTGTGTGTGTGTGTTTTGTTGTCTGGCTGTGTAGAAGCCCACTTTTCAAGTCCTCACTATTGGGCTACCAGTAGTCAATTGATAGATGTTGGGCCAGACTTACTTGATGTCATTATTATTATATATAAAGTTCTATAAGAGTGTAATTAAAGGCTTTAGTAAGGAGAGAAATTTTTATATGCCGATAGAATATATAACATGTGGTATCTTATATTATTGTGATTAGATTTAATAGTACGGCCTACTATATTTATGTTTGATATTTGAGAAACAATATAGAATATATACATTTATAATTGGTGAAAGGTCACGTGGTACTCTATTACCATACAAAAATTTCTTCAGTAAGGGGTTTGCAAACTCATTTCCCTGATTGGTTTAATTTAAGTGGGGTCTATTGTCTTAA